AACTCACTCACACAACTCACTCAACTCACACAACTCACTCACTCACTCAACTCACTCACTCACTCAACTCACTCACTCACTCAACTCACTCACACAACTCACTCAACTCAACTCACATAACTCACTCACACAACTCACACAACTCACTCACTCAACTCACACAACTCACTCACTCAACTCACTCAACTGACTCACTCAACTCACTCAACTCACTCACACAACTCACTCACTCAACTCACTCACTCATCTCACTCACACAACTCACTCACTTAACTCACTCAACTCACTCACTCAACTCACTCAACTCACTCACTCAACTCATTCAACTCACTCAACTCACTCACACAACTCACTCAAATCACTCAACTCACTCACACAACTCACTCGACTCACTCACTCACTCAACTCACTTAACTCACTCACTCAACTCAATCACTCAACTCACTCACTCACTCAACTCACTCAACTCACTCACTCAACTCACTCAACTCAACTCACGCAACTCACTCACACAACTCACACAACTCACTCACTCAACTCACACAACTCACTCACTCAACTCACTCAACTGACTCACTCAACTCACTCAACTCACTCACACAACTCACTCACACAACTCACTCACTCAACTCACTCACACAACTCACTCACACAACTCACTCACACAACTCACTCAACTCACTCAACTCACTCACACAACTCACTCACTCAACTCACTCACTCAACTCACTCAACTCACTCACTCAACTCACTCAACTCACTCAACTCACTCACACAACTCACTCACTCACTCAACTCACTCAACTCACTCACTAAACTCACTCACACAACTCACTCACTCAACTCACTAAACTCACTCACACAACTCACTCACTCAACTCACTCAACTCACTCACACAACTCACTCACTCAACTCACTCACTCAACTCACCCACACAACTCACTCACAAAACTCACTCAACTCACTCAACTCACTCACACAACTCACTCAACTCACTCACTCAACTCACTCAACTCACTCACTCAACTCACTCAACTCACTCAACTCACTCACTCAACTCACTCATTCAACTCACTCACTCACTCAACTCACTCAACTCACTCACTCAACTCACTCAATTCACTCAACTCACTCACTCAATTCACTCACTCAACTCACTCAACTCACTCAACTCACTCATCTCACTCACTCAAGTCACTGAACTCACTCACTCAACTCACTCACACAACTCACGCAACTCACACAACTCACTCACTCAACTCACTCACTCAACTCACTCAACTCACTCACACAACTCACTCAACTCACTCACTCAACTCACTCACACAACTCACTCAACTCACTCATTCAACTCACTCACTCACTCAACTCAACTCACTCACTCAACTCAACTCACTCAACTTACTCACTCAACTCACTCACTCAACTCAACTCACTCACTCACTCACACAACTCACTCACACAACTCACTCACTCAACTCTCTCACTCAACTCACTCACACAACTCACTCACACAACTCACTCACTCAACTCACACAACTCACTCACTCAACTCACTCACTCAACTCACACAACTCACTCAATCACTCAACTCACTCAACTCACTCAACTCACTCACTCACGCAACTCACTCAACTCACTCACTCAACTCACTCAACTCACTCACTCAACTCACTCAACTCACTCACACAACTCACTCACTCAACTCACTCAACTCACTCAACTCACTCAACTCACTCACACAACTCACTCACACAACTCACTCAACTCACTCAACTCACTCACTCAACTCACTCAACTCACTCACACAACTCACTCACTCAACTCACTCAACTCACTCAACTCACTCACACAACTCACTCACTCAACTCACTCAACTCACTCAACTCACTCAACTCACTCACATAACTCACTCACACAACTCACTCACTCAACTCACTCACACAACTCACTCACTCAACTCACTAAACTCACTCACACAACTCACTCACTGAACTCACTAAACTCACTCACACAACTCACTCACTGAACTCACTCAACTCACTCACGCAACTCACTCACTCAACTCACTCAACTCACTCAACTCACTCACTCAACTCACTCAACTCACTCAACTCACTCACTCAACTCACTCAACTCACTCAACTCACTCACACAACTCACTCACACAACTCACTCAACTCACTCAACTCACTCAACTCACTCACTCACTCAACTCACTCACTCAACTCCCTCACACAACTCACTCACACAACTAACTCAACTCACTCACTCACTCAACTCACTCACACACTCAACTCACTCACTCAACTCACTCACACAACTCACTGACGCAACTCATTCAACTCTCGCAACTCACTCAACTCACTCAAGCAGTATCCATAAGAGGCTTTTCGGTTAAATCGCGTAAATATAAATGTGTCGTTAACCCACCACCACCCGACACAGCCAATTAGTAAGGTTTGTCACGTAAACAAAGTTTAAATTAGTTAGTATTCAGCACTACCATCACAAGGCTGAATCGGAATCTTTGTTTAAGACTGCCGGAGAAATCCGTTGAGCTGCAAAGCTGATTTAGCTAGTTGTTATTACTGGCGAAACGTCGTACTCGAATTGTAAATGTTGTGCGTTTACTCTCCAACACACCGGTTAGTGCTGTGATAGTCACGAATTGGCACCTTCTGTTTACGTGACAACCCTTACGAATCTTCTTGGTTCTTTCGGTAAAGTCACGTAGAATGTAAATAATAAAAATAAAACATAATAAAATAATTACTATTTTATAATGTTTTACTTTTATTATTTTATTACATTCTACGTGACTTTACCGAAAGAACCAAGAAGATGAATCCCTGCAGTCACGAAAGCTTTAAATCGAGACCCTTACTAAGTTGGATTTGTCGGGTGGCGGCGGTCTTAACGACACATTAATATATTTACGCGATTTAACCCACAAAAAACCTCTCGTGCGGTCATTCGACTCAGTCATAAAACACTTCGTGAACGTAATTCACTCGGGTAACTCACGCACAGCGACGATTCAATGTCTCACACGCATGGCCTCGAAACAATTGTGGCAGTCACTGAGCGTGCCGAGTGAAGTCTCTAAGAGTATCTAAGAATCTAAGTGGAGTATCTACGATTTTTAGAGTATCTAACAATCTAACATTATCAGACAGTATGTCCGAATCTAACAGTATCTTAAGAATCTAACAGTAATGAGCAGTATCTAAAAATCTTACAATATCCAATAATCTAACAGTATCTAACAGTATCGAAGAGTATCGAAGAATCTAACAGTATCTTACAGTATCTAATAAATCTAACAGTCTATATTAACCTAACAGTATCTAACAGTAACTAAGAATCTAACAGTCTATAACAGTATCGAACAGTATCTTAAGAATCTTACAGTATCTAATGACATCTAAGAATCTCACAGTATCGAGCAGTATCTTAAGAATCTCACAGTATCTAATAACATCTAAGAAACTCACAGTATCGAGCAGTATGTAATAATCTCACAGTATCTAAGATTATCTAAGAATCTAACAGTATCGAGCAGTATATAGGAATCCTACAGTATCTAACAATATCCAAGAATCTAACAGTATCTATCAATCTAATGTATCTAACAGTATCTAAAAATTTAAGAGTCTCGAACAGTATCTAATAATCTAACAGTATCTAACAGTATCCAATAATCTAACAGTATCCAATAATCTAACAGTATCGAACAGGATCGAAGAATCTAGCAGTGCCTCACTGTGCTGCAGTGATCGACATTCAGGGTGCCAAGACTCCAAATCGGCCCTATCCAAGTGTGACTGCATCAAATGTTGGCATGTTTAATTTAATACCTTTCACTATGACAGTAAGGCTATGATGATATCTGTCATATGGCAATTTTCGAATTCCTAACCCCCAGAATTAGTAATATTGCATACTTTAGATACTTTTGTATCTTCAACGACACGTCCTTGGTTATATCGTAATTGTATTCGCTAGCATGTTAATGCAAACTAATTCTTTAGTAATCTCCACACACTCGCCACCAAAGCTTGCCTTTATAAGACAAAATATATAGTCATCGACGTTTCGGGAAATTACCCTTTGGTCCCTGTGCTATGAATAAGGACCATTGCTTGAAACGTCACCGATTGTATATTTAGTTATTTTAAGTACACACTATTGTTGAAGAGTGTGTTCATATTGTTTTTATATATTTATGTAAAGGTGTGGTTGCCGTGGAAACGGTTGAAATTAATGCTAACGTTAACCGTGTAAGCAGACTAAAGCTGTTGCTCTGTATGTTGCAGTGTATGATTAATTTGCGTGCAAGACGATTTCAGGACATATATACTGTATCGATTGCTCCACTATTGCAATAAATTGTTATAGGCACGTCGTGAGAACTGCTGACCTAATCAATAAGAGTACGGAATGAAGTAAGGCACTTCAGAAAATATTGCCAACAATGTATGTTGCAATATATATAAAAGGCAATTGTTAATAAGCGATGTTCTCACAGTGGGCTTTAAACAAAACAACCTACGCATATCTTCTTGGTTCTTTCGGTAAAGTCACGTAGAAGGGAAGTAATACAATTTCAGACGCTGTCTCCCCGACAGACCTGTTCTCCACCTGAGGACGGCTGCTTGCGTTGTGGCCGAAACGTCGTGAGAATTATTTTATTATGTTTTATTTTTATTATTTTATTACTTCCCTTCTACGTGACTTTACCGAAAGAACCAAGAAGATGAATCCCTGCAGTCACGAAAGCTTTAAATCGAAACCTACGCATACCATACGAGACACAAAAATGTACAATACGAAAAAAAGAGACATCTTACTTTGTAGCTCATGCTAAAAATAAATCGCGCCGATGCCGCTTGAGTGAGGTTGACAAAAGAGAAGCACATTTTAGAAATTGAACTTGTATTTTCTGACAAAATGCAATGCAATCATTCCGCCCACGAGCTTCGTTCAGGATACCATGAAGCACTCTCCAGCATGACAGACGCGGATCTACTTCACCCGTTTAAGGCCTTCTCCTTGAGACAGAGGCAGCCAAGCATTTACACGAAGGTCTAGAGTGGTGTAGAAGCCCCTGAAAGTTAAGGCAATGTACAGAACAGTTACCATGTTAGTCCAACGTTACTGATTTCTTGCTCCAACGAGCAGAGGGCCTTGCTAATCTCACGATTACATTCCTGAGCCAATGGTAGAAAGTCCACATATGTGTGGTGGAGGCCAGTCTATCCGTAGGACAACTAGTGCTGACTTTCCCAAACGAAGTGGTACTCACTTTATCAGCCCCAGAGGGATGATGGGTTCAGGCAACCCCACCCCAAGCGTGATTTGGAGACACAACATTGGGATTGTGTTGCCCGCTCGCTCTCCTGCTGAGCCGCCTGGTTGTGATGACGGTGCGAATTTAGCGTAGAAAAATATTACCATAAAATAGCAATATATCCCTTGTAAGATTGGTATAATGTCAGGGCAAGATGAGTGTTCAATGTGTCTGTGATGCACGACATCAAGTGACACAAAAGGCGTAGAACCCGGCAAAATACTCTAATCACAAGCTGAATTCTGACTGGGCGATCACAATCAATCAGACGTCAACATTAACTGCCACGTTGCACTTAGACTCTCTTTAAACATATCCACTGATACAGTCAAGATTACAAAAATATGACTTTTAACACAACGCACAAACCCCCGTCAAAACACCACCACTGAAAGTAACCGATGCAATCTGTGAACATCTTGGAGACACGCGTCATAGAAGGATGAATAATTTTGTACATCATTTCTGTCGGCAGCGTTTAATATACCAGCAGAGACGACCTGCGCATGTGATACTGTATCGGCATTTCTTCGAACACCATCCTTGATTAGAAAACTAAACTTAAACGGAACGATTTGATTTCATCAGCTAAGGCCCACTGGCTTTTTCAGAAACGACCTGCCCACAAAGGACAGCTCAGCGAAGTGGCTTATCGCGTGGAAATGTTTTGCAGCCAAATACTCTTGAGAGCGTGTTTCTAAACGTGGAAGGGCAAAAAGCCGGAGGACCCGGAGAAAAACCCACGCTACCACGGGGAGAGAGACATGCAGACTCCAAATATACAGGTGCCAGTGGTTAGGATCGCACCCACGACCTCCTGTATACCAGGCGAGGTAGTTAACATCTCGCCACCGTGGCTTTGAAAGGTACAAGCCAGTTACCAACCTGAGTAGAAGCCAGCACACCCAGTCCTATGCTGCGGTCGTGCTCCTGTGAATGTTATATTCATCCAACGTAGCCAATGAGTGTATTTGGAGAGATATAAAATGAGATTTTTTTGTCTGTTTCATACAATTTACTTTGAATGATACAAAAGTATCTCAAAACCCTGTAGAACATAAGTGGACGCGCACTTGGAGGGAAGCAGCAAAGACGGAAGGTTTTTGTTGTTGTTGTTTTGGTAATGTGGTTGAGGGCAGAATGGGTGAAACGGTGGCACCGTAAATGTGCAACGAAGACGCTCTCCACAGGGAAGAGGCCGCTATTTTTGGGCTTTGAAGAAAACTTCGGGTTCAAGCCTTGATGGTGAACAAGGCAAGGGAGGACCGAGACGACGTGAATGATTGTTGAGAGGGAATGCCAGACCAGTGGGGGAGAATAAGCAATCTGCCCCCCGCATTATATGCAGGTTGAGGGGGAGGCGGTGGGGGGGGTGACAGAGGACATTGGTAGGTGGAGGAGAGAGGACAGAACGGGGAGAGAGATGAGAGGGGAGAGGCTGGGAACAGGGCAGTCTATGGAGGATCTTGCAGACTGGATTTTGAGCTTGTGTATAAATATGGAACGTTTCTGTACGAATGAAACAATGATGACCTTTTGGTGTGAGCAAACCCTACAGAGTCAATTGCGACAGAAAATAATCGAGTTGGTCCCGGACTGGATTTTGAGTCAGTGTATAAATGTGAGTACAGTATTGGGGCAATGTGGTTGTGTTTCTTTGTGTGTGTACGAATCAAGTGTAGCGGTTAGCGCTACGCTGCGCTACGAACCCGCTCACGACCAATACCCAGTGACGATTATCTGAACCGATCGTGGGCCTCTCCTAGGTCGACTCGGCCTCAAATGAGTACCTGGTGTGGTGTGTAAACATCGCCACTGGGGAGACAAAGGCGGCCGGGCGTGGTGCTGGTGACCCACCGCCTCGTGTACCGTGCCGCCCTTCACAGGTGCTCGCTAACAGCACTTGCCCCAACAGTCTGTTAAGGCTATACGGGGGATCTTTGCCTTTGTTTCGCACGAACAAAACCGTCACCTTGTGATTTGGGCAAAAAGTGACCGAGTCAATTGTGCTATTCCTTTTTTCCCAGTAAATCACGTGCAGACTCATCCCGAAACTGCCACGCGTCGGGACCCCCTTGCTCCGTCAGCTACAGCACGCCACCAGCTACAGCAAGCCGTCAGCTACAGCAAGCCGTCAGCTACAGCACGCCGTCAGCTACAGCATGGTGCTGTGTGTGTCCCCCTCGCTGGCCGCTCTGAACTGCGCGCTGGGCAGCGACTTGAGGTACTCGATGTGACGCCGGGCGTCCTCCTGGTTGGTGCGCACGTAGTACGCGATGTAGGCGACCACCATGGCGAACCAGCCGAACATGGTGACGAGCATGGCCACGTCGGTGGTCTTGCGCGGCATGTTGCAGAAGTTCATCTTCTCCATCACCTCGAAGAAGGGCCTCCCGCGTGCGCTCTCCACCACGGCCGTGGCGCACAGCACCCCGTTGGCGGTGCGCGCGTCCACGTCCAGCACGGCGAACAGCTCCTGCAGCTGGCAGCCGCAGTGCAGCGGGTTCCCGTCCAGGCGCACGCGCGCCTTCAGCTGCTTCAGCTCCCGGGGCAGGCCGAGCAGTCGGTTGGCGGACAGGTCGAGGAAGGTGATGCCCTCGGGAAAGGCGGCGGCGCTCACGCTCTGGATGACGTTTCCCGACAGGTTCATCTCGCGCAGCTGCAGCAGGCCCTGGAAGAGGCCGGCGGGCAGCGCGCCGATGCGGTTGCCGTCGAGCAGGAGCACGGCGGTGTCTGCGGGCAGCTCGTGGGGCACGTGGCTGAGGCCCGCGCGGCTGCAGCTGACCGTCCTCTGCGCGTTCGCTCCCAGCGTGCAGTTGCAGGCGGCGGGGCACGGCGGGGAGCCATGCAGCGGGGAGGAGAGGGCCCACAGCAGCAGGTGGGCTTGCCACGCGAGCAACGGCCACGCCGTTAGCCGCAGCATGCTCCTCCTCCTCCTCCTGGCTATCACCACATCGGGCACCTTCCTCCTCCACTGCCGCCGCTGCCGCCGCTGCCGCGCTCTGTGTGTGTGGCCCGCGACGCTTTGCAGAGAGGGTTTGTCGCGTTCACAGCGAGGCCATCCAGGAGGGCTCCTCGTCACAGGCAACTGCGTGGGGACATGAAGGGCGCGGGTCACGTGGCCACGTCGGCTGCAAGCTCTGGGCACCGTCGCAGCGAATGGACATGTTGCATTTGCGAAGCTTAAGCTTGACTTTGCATTTCATGAGAATTTGAAATGTTGAATGTTTAGAAGCTTTCGGCAAAAATTTTAATAATTTCTTGTTTTTTTTTCAATTATACTGTACAAATCATACTTTTTGATACGATATTTGAGTGTTAGCCACGAACCAATAATGCAATTTTTGAATTGTAACTCACGGTACATGTGTAGGGGTGTTAAAGAGAGGGCCCGTTATGCATGGCAGCCTATGGAAAACAAACACAGTGGGCGGGGCTACGTAAGTGCACGAGCAAGTGCCCTCTACGACGTCCGAGCCAGACACCCTGGGGGGGGCTGGTTCGAACGTTATGATCCCCCGGGGCCCCACCCCTCAGGGAGGGGTTGGGTATAAAAGGGGATGTTTCAAAGGGCTCGGCAGTTATGTTTAAGCTAAGGGAAGAAGACTGAAGACGTCTTAGATAGAGCCCTGGACTCCCCTAGTTCGATGTCCTTTTCAGGGCCAGACAGGACTGAGCCAGCGGCGTGGTCCCGAAAGCCAGAGCCGGTGTTCTTGTAAGAGCTGGTCTGGGACTCCGGGTACCGGGCCCGACTTACCAGTGTCGGGCCAGTTAGCCTCCCCTAGCCCATTAGTGGAGGATTCGGGGCTAGGACAGAGTTAGCTAGGGGTGTATCCCGAGTTATACGGGTGAGGGGGCCGATACCCCCTCGAGTGTGTATATGCCCACTGTCGTATTGTGAAATAAATATACGTGTGCCTCAACCTCGGCGTCAAGCGTCTTCACCGGTACTTCACATGGATCGACACAAAGCCTCAACACATGAATACATTCAGAGAAACTGCCTGAATACAAAGAACCAAAAAACATGACACTGTACTTTTTTTTAGTATCATCGATACAAATGCGATTACGTGGGGCTATGATTAGTCTGTGTAATATAATCACCGTCACGTGCATTACAGTCAAAATGTCAAAAGCGCTTCTGATTAACGAGCATGGCGTAGTGTGCTTCTTGGGGGCTCAGGGAGGTAAGCGGAAGGCGAGGCAGCTGTTTGTTATCGGTTTGTGTGCTGTGGTCATCATAACCTGGACCGGTGCATTCTTACTTTTTCTATCGGTTAAAAATATCTCGAGTTGAACGAAACCAAAGCTAAAATCTGCTACATTTGCAACATCAAACATCCTCTGAATAAAGCCACCAGTTTTGGGGTTGCTTCTTCAACATTTCTGACGGATAAAATGGGGAGGAAAGGGCAGCTATGAAGTGAGATTTGTGTTCGATATAATATAAATTGAATTATATATTTTTAAATAAAAGTATCTCGAAAGACCTGTACAATATAATTGGACATTCACGTTGAAAGAACCAGCAAAGGGCACAGTACCGGACAATGAAGACACTTCACAGAGAGGAGACATTTATCCTCAGGCTTTTGAAGAAAAGTCAGGCTTTTGAAGAAGCCTTCCCTTCAGTCTTGGCGATGTGAATGATTGTTGAGAGGGAATGCCAGACCAGGCGGGGAGGGGGTGACAAAAACAACCTTCGCTGGTGGAGTAGAGAGAGACCATAACGGAGGAGTGAGATGAGAGGGGGAGAGGCGGGCGATGTCGCCGTCTATGAAGAATCTTGCAGACTGGATTGTGAGTTTGTGTATGAATGCGGGATGTCTCTGCACGAATAAAACCATAACCTCGCTATTTGAGCAAACCCCACAGAGTCAATTGTGACAGAACATATTCCACTTGGTGCCGGACTGGATTTTGAGTCAGTGTATGAATACAGTATTGGGGTGATGCGGTTGTGTTAAATGGCGTGTGTGTTCGTACGAATAAAAGCATCATCTTGTGATTTGGGCAAACCCTATTGAGCCAATTGTGCTATTGTTTCGTACATCACGTATAGACCAATTCTAAGACTGCCACGGATGTAGACCCAGCTTGAGAGCTACAGCCTGATTCTAGATTTGAAGCTTTCGTGACTGCAAGGATTCATATTCTTAGGTTTTTTCGGTAAAGTCACGTAGGTAAAAAATTAAATTAATAAAAGTAAAATAAAATAAAAATAAAATAAAAATCACGACGTTTCGGAGGCAACACAAGCTTCCGTCTTCATGTGGAACCGTCACAGCACGCTTGCTGTATCAAGTAAACTTATTTTACTTTTATTAATTTTAATTTTTTACCTTCGTGACTTTACCGAAAAAACCTAAGAATAGCTACAGCCTGGTGCTGTGGGTTTCCCCTTCTTGGTGGCTGCTCCGAACCGCGCGCTGAGCAGCGACTTGGGGTACTCAACGTGATGGACCGGTGTGTGTCCCCCGCTTCTAAATCCTGACAGCTTGTGGACATTTCTCCTCTGTGGCCTCACCAACACCTCGCTTTCAGATTCCAATAGATCTACTCTGCTGACAAAGACAAAGATCCCCGCCAGTATAGCCTCCACGAATGCTACCACCAGACTACTCACCAGCACCATCACCCAGATGTTCAGATTCCTCCACTAACTCCCAATCAAGTCCCACATAAAGTCACTTCCATCTTTAATACCTTCAACGGAGCCAACCCTAGCTATATTTTCCCCTCCGATCTCGCACCCTCATTCCTCCACGTTCTTTCTGCTCCAGAACCCAATGCCTAGTTTCAAACCCTCCAGTGAGCCTGCCGTAAATGGGAGTTCGATCTGTCCTTGTCTGCAGCTGCCTCCATTGTCTTGAATACCTTAGCCCCGTGGCATCTACGATACGTATGTATGTACGTATACGGAGAGGGCTTCAGTCGTTGCACCGGTACAGAGACAGTCAGAGTGGCAACACGGCTAGATTCATCTGGATGATAGGACAGCATGCCCAACTCCCGAGCAGTAACTCTAGGAAACTGATGCGTGGGACCGGCAGTAATTAAAGGCCTCACGATTCGATGTGAAAACGTCCGGAGGTGAAATTACCACGGTTAGAGAGAAAGTGCATCTTCTTGGGGGAGATGTTTCCTCGCCAATAACTGTCGGATCGAAGTTGGAAAGAAGACCTGATCACGTGGCTTTTTCTGGCGGTGGGTTTGCTGTCATTTCCTCGCACCTCCGATTAGCACGGTTGGCTACGAACGGTGCAAAAAAAATTCAACATACAGACATTCAATGCCACCGCAAATCTATTTCACGTTATTGTCCATGACATGGCTGTTTTCACACTGCGACCGTTTAGTCCTTCGCAGCCCTATTAAATAATGTCTAATGTAAAGTACTTATTCTCTGTTAATGCCCCAACCACCTGGAAAACCGTTGCTGTTTACTCTTTCATCTTAATCACAATTTCATATTAGGCCGTCGATTTTTAAAAATCATAACTTCACTTGGAATTGGATTTGATGTGTATCGTTGTCTGCTTATATAATATTACATAATATTATTATATAATATTATATAATAATTTTTGCTTTCTTTTCTTGGATTTTCTGTTTGCACATAGTCACTTTAATATATTTTCTTGTTCATGTTTTTGTTTTCTGTTTGTTGCGGTTGCAACCGATTCAAGAGCCGAATGGCTCACAGGGCTATACCTAATACATGAATTTGAACTTGAATAGTACAAAGGCCAGCCTATATTACTACGATGAGCCAAGAATGTCTGTTTGTGTGTAACGCGGGTGACGTCACTCCACGTCGACCAGCCCCCCTCATTAATAATCATGAACAGGTGACATCCTCCACGTGCCCCCCCCCTCATTTATAATCATGAGCGTTTGACGTCACTCCATATGGAGAACCCCCTCCCCTCATTATAATAATTAGCGGCTGACGTCACTCCAATGGGGGGCGAGGCGCCTCCTCCCCCCATCCTCAGCGCCAACTTACAACCCTCACTACAAAGGCAGAACCCTGACGTCACGTGATCTCCGTCACGTGATCTCCGTAGCGCTGTTGAGACATCAAAGTAAAAAGGACGTCATGATGAACAAGGGATTATAACCTTAAAATGAAATAGGTCTGTGTCACCGCGCCCTTACAAATTGCACACGAATGGATGCAATGGATATATCATGTCGCGGTCTGATTTTCGCTTGAATGTTTCAGATTTACTGCAATACGCCCGTTCTTGGACGGGCTATAGGCTAGTCTCTTAAATGCTTGTGTATGTATCTAGCCAACCGTGCTAATCGGAGGTGTTTATATAACTTTATTGTAATTGTACGATAAGCAGTCTAAAATAATCTAACCAAGGCGACTTTCACCATGGGAAATGTATTATATAACATTGCTTTACATCTCTGCATGATAATTATCAACGTCTCACATGACGACACAGTTGATTTAGCTCCGATTCCTTTCTGCTCCATTGCCGTCCTTTATTTCACTTTACTGCTCTGTGCGTTTAGTTTCTCGTCCTTCCCCCGCACCTCCGATTACCGCTGTCGGCTACGTACGGTGCGAAAGAAGTTCCACATGCACACTTGTTATGCTCGTTTCAATTTGGTTGACCTGAAACATTTCTCGCAAACGTCACTCATCCAGGCGTCCGGAGCTGTCGCCTGGCTAAACAAAATCGACGCGAAACTTTTAGTCTCGTGAGCAACTGTCCACTCTTACTCATTCCCCAGGAGATGTCACCACGTCTTAAATTGCTACTCCTTTAAAAAAAATGTTTTTTTGTTAAATCCCCTTTCGTGCTCTCGTCTGATCTTGCATACGGCCAGATGTCCCGGGACTAAAAGCCGAAGTCCACGGTCTGCTGGCCACAACGAGAGAGCTTCAGGAGAGAGTTCAAGCGGCGTTGATGCTCCTCCTCCTCCTCCTTCGTTAAAGGAGCGAGGGTGGGAGAACGGTGGCCTTCTATAAACTAATAAAACATATTTTACCAGGTAAGGCCCAGTGTCTCTTTTTTCAGAAGCGAATCGCTTGGCCACAAATGATAGCTTAACGAAGTGGCTCAA